GGGGGGGGGCAGGTGCCTTCCTTGCTTCTTAGGATGAGGTTTCCATAACAACAGCTGGGGGTCACACGTAGAGGAAGATATAGAACGATCCCGGAGCACTGAGGCCGGGTCTGTGCCGGGGGGTGGGTGGCACAACTCCAGAGGGTCCCCTCGGAACGTGCTACGGGGCAGAGACGCTGCGTCTAATTCTTGTGGGTGGCACATGACCTTTCCACCCAATCGCTTCTGTTTTCCCAGCTTGAGTCACTGATGTCCAAACACTTCTCTACCAGTGACGTGCTTGGGGTTTTATTGATTTATTAATAAATTTTTTAACATTTATTTATTGCTGAGACACAAAGAGAGACAGAGCATGAGCAGGGGAGGGGCAGAGAGAGAGGGAGACACAGAATCTGAAGCAGGCTCCAGGCTCCGAACTGTCAGTGCAGAGCCTGATGCAGGGGTTGGACTCATGAACCGTGAGATCATGACGTGAGCCGAAGTTGGATGCTTAACTGACGGAGCCACCCAGGCGCCCCTGTTTGGTGTTTTAAATACAGACCTGGAATCACCCCCGAGGGAAAGTTAGGGTCTCACTTCCTGGAGCACATTAACACTTGGCACTATTTTCAAGGTGAGCCCCTACTTGCAGTGAGGAGTAAAAAGTCAACTGTCCTGGTATCTTAGGGTTCCTGTAACAAAGGAGCAAACAAGGAGAGGCTCCCACCACAGACATCTATCCCGTCTCAGTTCTGGAGGCTGGGAGGCTGAGATCCAGGCAGGGCTGAGGCTGGGAGTCTGAGATCCAGGCAGGGCTGAGGCTGGGAGTCTGAAATCCAGGCAGGTCTGAGTCAGGGGGTCTGAGTTCCAGGCAGGGCTGAGGCCAGGAGTATGAGATCCAGGCAGGGCCGAGGTTGGGAGTCTGAGATCCAGGAGGGGTTGAGGCTGGGAGTCTGAGATCCAGGCAGGGCTGAGGCTGGATGGGTCTGAGATCCAGGGGGCGCTGAGGTGGGGAGTGTGCAGTCCAGGCAGGGCTGGAGGCCTAGAATCTGAGATCCAGGCAGGGCTGAAGCTTGGAGGTTGAGGTCCAGGCAGGTCTGAGCCTGGGAGGCTCAATCCAAGCAGGGCTGGAGGCTGGGGGCTGAGATCCAGGCAGGGCTGAGGCTGGGAGTCTGAGAGCCAGGTGTGGGCACAGTTGGTTTCTCCCGTGGTCTGTCTCCTTAGCATGTCAATTCCATCCTCTCCTTGTGTCCCTTCTGTCTGTGAGCACACCCATCCTTGTAATCGGTCTCTCTTTTTATAAAGCCACCAGTCATATTAGATTAGGATCATATCACATTACAACCTCTTAATTTCAGTGTCTGAGGGCCTGTGAATTAAAGTGACCAAAGGCAGGTTAACAGGAGAAAAGGCATATGTTTCTGTACGGATGGTATGATTTTCCGTGCACGCGGGATTCCCTGGGAGGAAATGAACACGCGGACCAGCAGTTTGTCTGGGGAGCTCAGACACGACTTTAACAACGGGCTTGTGCACTAGTGGGTAGGCAGAGGACAAGGTGTCCCGGAGCTCTAGGGCGGAAATTGTGGGAAGGAGACTAGAACATGAACAGAGCAAATTCATGGCGAGAAACGTCGTGTGTGTGGAAATTTGTTGCTGATAAAATTGGTCCTCTTCCTGGTGAAAAGTGGGGGTGGGGGGGGCGCCTTTACAAATGAAAATTTCCGTCGCAAGCTGGGAAAGCGCTGCGTCAGACTTTAGGCAGGTGGGGAAGGGCAGGCGGCTCCCCCAGTGTCTCCTGGGTCTTAACTGCCACCAGGCCCCCCTCTTAGGACTGTTTCCACCAGTCAGTGTGTTCGTGGCCTTGAGTGAAACCGTGGTCCTGGGGTCCCACGCCGCCCGCCCGCCTGACCAGATCTCCTTGCGCGTTTCAGACTTCACAAGTGCCTCATGCCCAGCGTGCCCGATCCCAAGCTCACCTTCCCTGGGCTCTTTGAACTGCACCGGGGTAACTTCCAGGTAACTGCCCTCCCCCCGTTTATCTCCAAGCTCCTGCCCTGTTTCCAAGCCCTGCTGCGAGCGAGCGACCTCCCCAGACGCCCTCGAGCCTTTCCTGAACCCGGAGCCCACAGCGTGCTTGTTTTTCTCTTGCTCACGCACACGAGGTGCAGGCAGGCTCTCAGAGGGCGGCCTCTGCTCCAATCGGCCCCGGAGATCTGTGCCCTCTCGGGATTTTCCAGCCCAATCGACCCTCTGATCTCCCCAGGAAGTTGTGCTGTGAATATGTTACCTCTGAAAACAAACCATAGACTTCCGCTTTTAAAACGGTTTACGGCCGTTACTTCATTCACTTGAGAGAGGCGGGTGGGGCTATGAGTGGGAGCTGCTGGGAATTGGGGGGAGGGGAGCAGCCCCCACCCTGGGGAGCTCAACACCAGTGGCTTGGCTTGTGCAGCACAATGAATCAGCACTTTCCGGGCACGGCCCCCAAGCAGAGGCTTCAAACAACACAAACAAATCACCTCCTGTCTCCCACTTCTGCAGACCAGAGGCTGAGACCCAGGCAGGGTGGGGCTGCTGAGATCCAGGCAGGGCAGGACCACTGAGTTTCAGGGGAGGCAGGACCCCTGAGATCCAGAGGGGACAGGGCCGCTGAGGTCCAGGAGGGGCAGGGCCGCTGAGGTCCAGGAGGGGCAGGGCCGCTGCGACCCAGGCAGGGCAGGACCACTGAGATCCAGGCAGGGCTGTGCTGCCTCCAGAGTCTCCAGGGGAGGGTCCCTCCTCCTCTTCCAGCTTCTGGGGCTCCAGGCGTTCTTGGGCTCGTGGCCGCGTCCCTCCCGTCTCTGCCTCCGGCTTCACGGGGCCTCTCCTCTGTGTCTGTGTGTCCCCTTGTGTCTCTTACAAGGACACCTGCCATTGGCTTAGGGCCCCCCTGATCTGACTCTTGTCAGATCCTTCCCTTCATCACATCTGCAAAGACCCTGTTTCACAAACAAGCTTCTGTATGGAGGCTGTGGGACTTCCACCTCCTCGAGGAGGAAGCTGAATTTCCAAACCCCTTAGATACAAGGGAGGAAGAACACAACAGGGGAAACCTCGTCCTCCACCCCTTAGTTTCTGTGTCCAGAACCTGCCAGCGAAACTCACAAAAGACAGATGAGCAGCAGACAAAGTTTGTTTCGTGCGCACATGACTCTGGGGCGTCCCAGAAAAGGAGCATAAGCCCCAAAGAGGTGCTGAGACCTGCGGGCTCCCGCGGTGTTTTGGCCAAGCGTGATCAAGCGTGCAGAGGTGACAGGGCAGAGGAGAAGGGCGGGCGGGCCTGTGGCTGGCAGGCGACGGAAGGGCAGTAGAAGATACATTGACGAATAGGGCGGGTTGAGTAAGCTGTGCTATTTGGACTTGAGCTTCGGGGGTGAGCAGGGCTGTGCTGCAGTTGTAAGGTCACCGTTCATTGGTTTGCGAGAGAGACAGAGAGCGTGAGCGGGGGAGGGGCAGAGAGCGAGGGAGACACAGAATCCGAAGCGGGTTCCGGGCTCCGAGCCGTCAGCGCAGAGCCTGATGCAGGGGTTGAACCCACAGGGATCCGTGTGGCACATTCTGCCGACTGAGCCAGCCAGGCCCCCCCGCCGTTGGGCTCTGTGCTGACACAGGGGACGGACCTGGGACAGAGGTTGATACAACTGTTTAGAATCAGAACATCCGGGCCCCACCTGGACCCGCTGGCTGAGCAATCGTCCTGACGACAAGACCCCGCGAGACCCGCAAACAGAATCAAGTTCCAGAAGCGCCACCACGAAAGTCCTGTTTCTTGTCCTAACACGTGAAAAGAGCCGCACAGGGTTTAGAAACAGCCTCTGAGGCTGATGATGAGAGGCGGGTCTAAAAGCACCGTGGGCAGAGCTCAAAGATGCCAAACACAAACGAGAGGGTTTTGTGTTCCCCGGGGCTCCGCGTGTGCGCCCCAGGGAGGCTGCCCGGGGCCCTGGGATGCTCGGCCACAGGACCCTTGCACCAGCCCCAAGGCATTTCCTCGCGCTCGAGATGCAATGTTTTATTATTCCCGCAGGAGTGGATCAAGGATACACAGAACGTGTCCCACGTGGCCAAGACGGAGGCCACGGAGCAGGAGTGTGTCCCCGAAGAGACCCTCGTTGTCCAGCTACAGAAGGCCGAGGCCGAGATGCCCATCGTGACGACTGGCCCGTTGTGCCCTCCAGTGGAGGGGGAAGAGGCCTCCGGGGACACCAGCCTGGTTGCGTGCCAGCCCCCACAAGGGGGCGAGGTGGTCTCTCTGGGGGGCTTCACGTTTGTGATGACTGACAACTCATACATGCTGTTATGAGGGGGTGCAAACTCAAAACCCAACATTGGGGCCTACATTGACATTATAGCATCTGAGGGACTCAGTACGACCACCAAGGGAACACCAACTATGCCAGCGTGTGTGGCGGGGGTGGGGGGCTCACTGAGAACCCTAACCGCCCAGCCAGGTCACTCCGTGTGTCAGCTTTCCGCCCACGCATGGTGGACAGGACTCCGTCTGTCGAGTGCTTCCTGTTTCCAGCTCACATGTGCCTGTGGCTGATGGTTTCCCATCCATCGCGAAGGACGCTGGCCAGGGCTCCCTGACGTCGTCTCCCTCCGTGCACGTCGCCCGCGTGCTGTTCCGACAACATTTACCGTCGTGAGCCCTTTGCGAGCCCTTTTGTTACGCAGCACACATGCCCCGCGAGCAAGCCACTCCGCTCCCGGGTAGGAAAGGAAGCCTGCTTTACGGATGCGAATGAGCCACGCGGCGCCTGCCCTCACACGCGAAAACACCCGCTTGGCAACGACAGGACCGCGTTCTCCAGCAGAGTCCGTTTCTGTGGGCGTCCACACGCATGGCGTTGAGTCTGGATGCAGGTGGACCTTCGACCGGATCCATCCTGCCCTTGAGGACATACCGTGTTTTTCTTTTGTAATGGAAATAAAGGAAGTTTATCACCCGAGCTTCAACCGCATAGATTATCGAGATCTTGGTTCTTTGGGCTGGTGGTGAGTCTATCTTGTCTGTCTGGGGTCTCTGCCCGTGGCAGTAAATAAGTTTGGAGCTCGTGTGTGTGTGTGCGTGTGTGTGTTGGGGAAAACCTCTTTCCCACCCCGAAAACCCTCCACGGATGCAAAGAAAAGAGTTTTATCACAGAGCCTGCAGGAAACCACCTCACAGGCAACCCGCCCAGAGGTCCCAGCGATAGAGTCTCACTGGCTCTTTTAGCTTCAAAGCACAAAACCCATCCCTGCTCTCAAGGGGAGTTTTGTCTAATCTTCAGCATTGACGTGGGTTTGCAGTTCGGAGCCACCACCTGGCTGGGGTCTGACGTCCAGGAGGGGCTGAGGCTGGGGGTCTGAGATCCAGGCAGGGC